TATTGCAACAGTAGCATGAGTGGCCCCAGCTGTCATCACAGGGAGCATAAGAATTGCCACTGGATCTGAGAAATAATCCACCATTATTATTTCGAGCCACTAATTTGGGGGATGGTTTGTTTTGCAGTAACAGATGACATGTGCAGCAATGCAGAAGGGTCCCGTCATAACAAAAATAAACCACTTGATACTGGCTTTGGACATGGGGGCAGTTGACAGAGGCTGGAAGGACAGGGATGAAATTACTACCATAGTCTGCAAAAAGAGGTAAGATAGGTGATAAGGTCGGCACTGGCCAGAGAAGTGCAGATGTTCACCTGTAGCAAGAGGTAAGATAGGACAGGTTCCCAGTGAATGCCCATAGCTGTCTAAGATGTCCAGGAAGCATGTATCTTCCTTTTAGCTGCCTAACTTAGAGTGTGGGAAGAGAGAGATGAGCTAAAGAAAGAATTATTGCATTTTCAAGCAGAATTTAAAGGAACTATTTCTAACCCAGTTCTTAATGGGTAGAACATAAAGGTGTTTCTTATCTCTTCCCCTCTCCAGTTGACAACATAATTCTCAACCTAAGAAATGGCCTCAAGGTAGAGCTCCAATCCATGGCCTCAGGAGCAAGATCAAGATCCACTTTGTAAAAACCTTGGGACAACAAAGGCAGCATCTCATAGACCTGTAGACAAAGGGGCTTCTTAGCAACTCAAGGACATTGCCCCACAGCACCCTTACTTCCAACCTGATACAGTCTTGTCTCAAACAAACTTCTGCATGTGGCTTGGTCCAGTGCAGCAGGCTGTAACTTGAGACACAGAAATCCTACAATGGTTTTAAAGGAATTATGAAATATTGAAACTAAAACGTGAGACAGTTCAAAGTGAAGGGGTAGAAATAAACATGAAACATGACCCATTTCTTCTGGAAAAGGACGGGAGTTGCCAAGTGCTAAGCCCAGAATGCACAGGGGGGTGACATGGCCTTACATGTGAGGGACCAGGAATGAGTCCCAGGAAACCCAGGTGGAGCCAATCAAGGAATATTCCCACCCTGAGGGCAGAGGAGCCTGGCAAACACACCTGGCTGGATTTGGAAATTGCTACAGTTCAAGGACTTCAATGTGCTCACAGGGGTGCTCAGCAGGGGTGCTTAGCAGGGGTAGCATGTGCTTCCTGTGAACTCTCCATCCACACCCCTCTGATACCCTCTGATGTCCATCCACAGCAATCCCTTTGGGATTTGAAGTGTGGAGAATCAGCTCAATTGACAACTATCAGCATTTACTATTACTCCCAAAGGATACCAGGTACCTGAGCCATCTGGACTGCGGTGGTTCCCTTTGCTCCCAAGAGGACCATGGCCAGGGCCGAGGAGATGCTGATGGGTGAGTAAAACACATT